CGGCTCGAATCTATTTATTAATTAATATTCAAGGCGTTACGTAACGAGGATACAATCGCACCTGCATTGTCACGACGCGTAGGATAGCGAGCACCCCCTCTGTTCCAACCCACCTCTCTTTGCCCCTCTATCGAACGTCCAAGACGGCGAGCTCGTAAATCCAGGCTGTCGTAATTACCGGGACAGTAGCCGAGTTCCGTTGATCGCGAAGCTGCCAACGCTTTCATATCCGTACTGATTTATTAAGCCGCTTTCATCCTTCGACGCGAGGCTCACGTGCTTGGAGCCCTGTCGTAATTAAATCGCAGCTCGCCCGAATCCACCAACTTCCAACATCGACGTAACGTTCGATTTCTTTCTTCTCGCGAGAGGTCGGCGATCCAGAACAATTTAGCAAAGGGCGTAGAAAGATGTTAACCCCTACACGAATGACTCAATTCAATTATTGCATAATTGTTAGTTTGCTGAATGTCCAGAGAAAACGATCTTGTTTCAGTGATATGTTTACCAACAATGTGAATTTTATCAAGTCTGTTGAAAAGAAAGTGAACGTTTTTATTTCTCCCCATATTCCTTCGATTGGCTACGCTATGAAAATATATTACAATGATTATCGACCGCAAAGGATTAACATGTTTTGTCGGTGAAACTTTGAAGCATATTTCAAAATAGATGACCGATTCGGCGTAGTGATTTATGCCTCATTGTCTCGGATTTCCTATCAACACTTTTGCAAGATTAAACAGTGTTTCAAAGAATGAAATATTTTAGATGAAATTTCAGAGTGAGTTACTTTCTTCCGGCGAATTTTTACATGTATGAATCATTCCCCAGTCAGTTGTCTGCAATATTGGACCTTAGAATTATATATTATATTATATTATATATTATTAATTATATTAATTATATATTATATATTAAATTAATTGATTATACATAAAATATATTGGACATATGTTATATATAATAATATAATATGATAATATAACATATATATATATATATAATAAATTAATTATATATAAAATATATTGGACATATATTATATATAATAATATAATATAATAACATTATATATAATTAAATAACATATATATATAAAATAAATTAATTATACATAAAATAAATTGGACAATAAAGGATATCGCCAACTATCGCAAACTAATGAAAAGAATAAAATCTTCATCTCAGAAACAACAAACGATCGATTTCGTATCGCAAACCGAGCCAACCGGGCGTATCTCTAACATCGTCCCCTCAATTTTCCCTCGAGCAGCAGACGACGAATCACAGTCAACGTTTTAACGTCATCGCGGTGAAATTACGTCACCGTAAATACGACGGATTTACTATTCCATCAAACGATCCATCCACGGATGGAAAGAGAGTACACACGGAGACAAAGCGCACCATTATCCCATTCCGTTCCATTTCGCGATGGGAGAAGCACTCCGGTCGGGGAAAAATCATTGAAAGACGAGGACGAGGTCGCAAGATTTCACAGCGGCGAGGCGCACCGCTTCAAAGATTCAAAATGTCGGGCAATTAATCGAAGGACGGGGGCAAACGTTTGACGTCGCGACAAGCGTGAACGTAATCGCAAAAGTGGACGGACGACACTCGGCCTCGGCCTCGACGCGGTTGACAAGTTATCCGTGGGGTCGGCCACATTGAATAATGTAGAATTTAATTTCGACTCGGTTCTCCCTTCATCGTCATCGAGGCGGCCGGGCACCCGAGCGTTGATTCGCGCCGTGAAACATTTAGCGGCCGTGAAATTTCCCATGCGACCGGCCGGATACGGCCCGGCTGCACACCACCGGTACTCGGGTATTTGTCGATGGACGAGAACCATCCGGAGAACACGTCCGCTCTTTCCGCGATTCGTGCCTTGAATTTAGGACCGTGCTGGCCAACGACGTGGAGAAACTGGGGGGGAGGGGGGGAGGGAAAAAATGGGGGATGCCTGCCGGCTAAAGACCGCGGTTTTCGAACGTGTACTGAAATGCGCGTGTGTACACGTGAAACTTGTATTAATCCCTCGGAAGCCCGAAGCTCGCAGTGCCGTGCCGGGGTCATTTCTGACTCACACGGATATTCCATTAATATATATATTTAGATCGCCCGAGCAGCTCACCGATAATGTACTAACGCAGAGTAATGGTCACTCGAGACCGAGGTTCTCACCGATATTGTACCAACACAGTGACAGACACCCGACTCATATAAGAACATGTAGGAGCATATAGGAATAATAATCACATAAATAATAATGTGATATTTATTTATATTTATACGCTGTATCCTTGCTAGGTCCAATACGTTGCCAATTACGTTCAAATTCCTAGTTTTTCTGGAACTACATTGTCCACAGTTTCAGATATATTATCTTCTTGCATTTCGGGTTCAACGTCACTATTTGATACACTTCCGTTGTCTGATGATTGTTTATTGTCAGAAACGTCTTGTGCAAATTCAGCGAAAGAAGACGAAAAGAAAGATTGCTCGTTGGTAACGAAGACATTACGTCAACAAATGGAAACAAATATAAACAACGGAAAAAAAGTAATAAAAAGAATAAAAATAATAATAAAAACAGTAAATTAATAATAAAAATAGTAAAATATTAAAATAGTGCTAAAAACTAAAATCTAAACAGTAAGTACAAAAATAATATAAAAATAAATACTAAAAACAAAAAATAATATAAAAATAAATATTAAAACAAAAATAGTACTATTAAATATACTGAAATACAATGCTAAAATACTAAATACTAAATATTGAAATACAATGCTAAAATACTAAATACTAAATACTGAAATACAATGCTAAAATACTAAATACTAAATACCAAACACTGAAATACAATGCTAAAATACTAAAACAATAATAAAAACACTAAAATATAAAATATAACTTTGAAATAAGAAATTGCTTCGATTTGCTGCACACGTCTTGTCTCCTCAGACCAAAAACTGATTTCTTTCGTCTTTTGTCTTCAGTCTTTGTTACTTCGGCACTTTGGCGGATACATGTTAGTCACATGGCGTTCGTGTATAGCGCAATCAGATTTCAGTTACTAATACAAGCAGCGCCTATCACTCTGTGCGTTATTGCACTCGAGTAGCTCTCAACACGGGTCAAAAATGACTCCGGTACGGCAGTCGGACGGTTAAGCAATCACGCAGAACGTGAACCGCGTTTAGGACAATTTTAACACTCGGTATTTATCTCGTCGATAATGGAAATTTTAAATTATTGGAGATCCGCCTCCTTTCAATCGAGTAATGTTCACGTGAAACGTATATTAACTGTTATAGTGTAATTGCCTACTTATACGCGTACATGTTAATCGTGTCAAAGTATGAGAGTAGTATATGTATGTATGTGTGTGTGATGACAATCAAGGACTCACTTTGTATATATATTATACGGTATGTACAACGAAAAAGTTCTAGAAAAAATAAAACTAGTCAACAGTGAACACGTGTTTCTGAGATCAAAAAGTTCAATTCAGACGATATTTAAAAAAGTAAAATCCTTAAGAACTAATATTCCACTGCCCAAATTAATAAATCACAACATTAACAAATTAAGGACTTGTTAATACCACGTATACCACTGTGTATAGAGGAATTAGAACATTATTCATTTCTAGTGTTCAGTGTGTATCGTAGATGATTTTAAATTTTAAATTTAAAGATCGTCTATATGTCTTTTATTCTTGGCAAACACATTTCTGTTTCTCTTCTTCATTGTACAAGTAAATAGCTACAATTAATAAACAACTTTCTTCTTCGACGAAAGACGACAAACTAAATTCTGGTCACACACGTCTCGATTTATTCCAAATGAAAATTTTTATAACGACGTACTGGTGAAATAAATACACACACTGCGAATGTATGAACATGTAACTTTCAAATCGCACGATATTAGAGAGAAACGCACGCTTATCAAGTGTCGACCATTTTTAGCGTGACAGAGATTTTGTTGACGACGTCCGTATATTAAAAATTTGTACTGAAGTCTCTGGTTTCGTGAAATATTTCTCCGCGCGTGAAATAAGGATCTCTGCTGTCTACGCGACGACTCTACGGACCAAGGAGCAGGAATAGCGGAGGACAGAGTGGACGAAAAGAAAGAAAGAAAAGGGAGAGATATAGAGTGTCGGTGAAGAGACAAGGGCAGGGGATTTCGGGCGAGATCGGTAACAGGCTGAAAGAGGGAACGAGAGAAGAGTAGAAAAACGCCAGTGATCCGCGTTACGGATTAACGGGGGCGCCTGTGCTGCAACGACGATGCACTTTCCGGATATCCGAGCGTCCGGACAGCTCGTGAGATATTCAACGGACCGAATATCCGGCCAGATTATACGATTTTCCTTTTTTGTCACGAGGCTCTTCCCCGTCCCCCCCCCCCTTTTTTGTTTTCCACCCGTTTCGTTTCTCTCTCTTCCTCTGTGTGTGTATTTCTCTCTTTTCCCTGATCGTTTGACGTATCGACACGAGTGCGACTTATGAAATTTCACGGTGAGAATTTTATCATACATAGCTGATATTACCTCGATTGAAATAATATCAGCTGAGAGATTGAACACGCCACGCGTATGAATCATTTATCGGAAGGGAGGAAACGAGTGGTCAGGATTCGACTTTCTCGTTGGCACGATCGACCATCTCGTTAGCACATCGTGGCCAATGTATCAGTGAATATTCGTATCGATAGCATTCTCGACATTCTGAATTCATCGCGCCGCACTCGCCGGATATCCGTGTCTCCTCGACAGCGAGAACGTGCCGGTAAAAGTGAGGCTAATTACGTCTGTCCGACGCGTTCGCACCGGTAATCGAAACTCTATAGATCGGCGATATTTCAAGGGGGAATATTCATAATTCATAATCTCAATGTCATCTCGGATTACGTGAGATTCAACGTTTTCAACGGTGTAAACAATCGAACGACATTAACGAATAAACAGAGATAATAAAACGTACCGGGTATTGTTGAACATTTCATCCAGAGCGTGCATCAACGTTTCCACGTCCATTGTGGCAAAATTCACGATCAAAGCGGCGCCTCTGGCTTGAGCCGCGATCGCGTTCTGATATTGATCACCGTAGAAAGGCATGAGGATCATTGGAACCCCGGTCTGAACTCCTTCCGATAAACCAAGAAGACCACCGTGACCGAAGTAGCACTTGACATTTGGATGGTCTGTAAAACGAAACGAAGTACTTAATATTTTAAGCATTGACCATCGACGCATCGATTGTATTTGAGGAATCGAATATGAAATTATTGAAACTTTCAACGAGTCACGAAGTGAGTCGTGAGTCTGACTAATTATCTGTCTGCACTGCTGACTGTTATCTTCGTTGAAACTTTCCATACCTCTTTGCAGAAATTTATTTCCTCGGAAGCGTTAGAAGGAAAACTCACTTCTGAGAAAAAGTAAAAGTTGTGCAACAAACAGATTTCTTGCAAATGTTATAGAGTTTTTATAAAGTTCCATTTGAGTGTAAATGTTTTTTTTTTTTTAAATTGATAAATTGTTAATAAAGCTAATTATATGTCAGTACTTTAAGTAACGCTAATTGAAAAGTTTTGTACTTTGACCTAAAATATTCGTTCAAGGATCCTCTGGAACTATTGAAAGACAAATACAAACATTTTGTTTCCCTTTTGACCAATGCCCAATAATAAATAAATAAATAAATAAATGAGTTGCATCAGTTTTATTTATATTCAATCGATTCATTCATGAAAACATCCGGTCAGACTCGAAATTAATGAATCGACACTAAAAGCCTAGCGTTAAAACCGAGTCGAAATCGAGTCATCTGTCCATAGAAATCGATTCCCAATATCGGAAAAATCGTCGCGGTAGCTCTGTGTCTCCCATTCATCGCGACACATACACCCCAGATCAAATATCATAAAACAAATACTACATAAATTTGCTACAAAACTGGAAGAATTAAATAATATTTTATACAACGGGGGAAAAATCTATAAACTATTACTACATTTAAATATTGAAAATAAAAAGGGTGTCATAAAAATTTCGAGTGGGAGTGTATATTTGGTTTTTTGCTGTTTTACGATGAAACGAGGAAGCACAATGTGTCCCTGTTCATAAATATCCGATTTGGTTCAACCACCGTGTAAAATATGTATGAACGATCTCGTAGAGAGGGAATCTGTACGAACGATTACAACACTGAGTGGCATCGGCATTTCGCCAGAATAATAAAGTATAATAAAGAAAAGATATATAGTAGATTTTCAGGGATGACGTGAGTTTATTTTTGTTAATACGCTAGAAAATGACGGCTTTTGTCATTATGTATATTTTAATCATGTAATTAGCTGGAAGTAGAAAGTTTATAGTGATTAACTTAATATTTATAAAGTTAATATAAATATAATATATATATATAAAGTTAATATAAATATAATATAATATAATATTTATAAAGTTAACTTAATATTTATAAAGTATCGTGTAATTAGCTGGAAGTAGAAAGTTTATAGTAATTAACTTGTATATTTTAATCATGTAATTATCTGGAAGTAGAAAGTTTATAGTAATCAACTTTCACCCTGTAATCTTAGGCAGTCAGATCTTTATACATTAATGAGAAATTTAGAAATACGAAAAATAAATCTGAATTATGAATATATTAAATTCTCATAATATTAACATGTATAATATTATAACGACGAAACACGATATTTGGTATATCCATAAAGATATCAATTTTCGTAAACTATTCGCGATCCATGTATATTATAAGCTAAGCTTCCCTTCTCATCCAATTTCTCGCAGCATAAGAAGAAACATCCTCCGAGAAGAAACTGATCCAGGAGAAAAAAAAAAAAAAAAGAACGCGCGTCAATGGGTTGAATAAATCCCGGTGTCGAATACTCGGCTGAAAAATTCGTGTCGTCCGCATTTGTCGCGCGGAGTCACCCTCCGGTAAGAGGGTGGCTGCCACGTACCCGCCGCCATACGGGATTCTGCACCACCTCCGGCGTCGATCTTAATGTCAAATTCCATTACCACGCAGCGCCTCCCATCGCCTTCCCCCTCGTTCTAGCAACCCTTCGACTCCCCCCCCCCCCGAGCGCCTAAACCACCGCCAAGCCCCCTTCTCGATTTGGCTACAGATGTAGACGAGTTGTAGGAGTTACGTTCCCCTTGTAGAACCGTACGGGTGGTTTAGAGGGGCGAAGGTTCGACGGGAGAGCACCTCTCGAGATTTCGCGCTCGATACATCGTCGCATCGGCGCGCGTCGATACGTGACAGAGGATATCTATCGGGGGAGGAGAAACGGGAAAGGGATACGGAGGGTTCGGATCTGAATTTTTGCGGGCGACATCGGAGGAATGCGAAGACCGGAGACCGGAGGCAGAGGGAAAATCGGTCGGGCGTTCGCGCGATTTGCTCGAGATTTCCGTCAGCCGCGAGATACATTTTTACGGCGTCGCTGTAACGAGAAAATAACACGCCGGTATTTCCTAGCCTAGCGCCGGTCTTTTACGAGCGTCGTCGGCGAAACCACCCCTCCTGAGAATTGATATTTGACCGCCTATAGGCTGAACTGGCTCGTAAGACGAAAGTCAACGAGGGCAACGCGCTAGTTTCTTCGTGAACGTACACGCGTAATAATAATAATTTGATTATTTTCATGTTTTCATGTTATTAAGATGACGAATTAAAATGCACAGTTGTAAAGACCTATTCATCTTTGATTCATCCTGACGATACTTGACACTAAACGTACCGATGCTTCATGTATACCTCTTTCTACCATAAATAACCCGTCTCCAAAAGTATCATATATTTTACGACGTATGTATAGCAAAAAATATACCATTTAATACAATTTGTGAATGAAACAATTTTGTCCAAATAACGATTGTAATTTGTTTATTTATTCAGTTCAAAAAATGCATACAAATAAGAGAACATTTATTTCTGAATTTAGAAGTAAACAATATGCAAACTTTATTCAAGTTCAGCGCATTTTTTGCAAATTATTGGATCCTGAATGACATTGTTGCCACACACATATTTTTTGTATTTTTTTTGTTCTTCTCAACATTCTAGCGAAAGAAAATTAACGTTTGTATTACTTTCATGTGAAGACTCAAAAGGATTCAAATAAATGTTTGTAGTTCGTTAGAAAATGATAGATCTTCTGAGAATGTTTATATGTAGTCTTATTCTTGTCTATATCTTATTCTTTCCGATCGTTGCAAACCTGTCATAATATATCATCATGCAATAATACATTAAATTATCATAAAATTTATTTTCCCTTTGCCCGTGAAACGAGTCTCTACTTAAGTCTCAATTTTTTAATTATACTTAAGAAAATATAAATTCATCCAAAAATCCATCTTGAAACCTACAATATTATAATCTGGCACGTAGGTGAAATTTCCGATTCTTGAGCAATAATTTAAACGAGAATCGTTGAGTCATGATCGATATTTAGATTCCAAATATTTAAAATGAGAGAATCGAACTACTATTTGTAAGTAACCACGATAATACAAAAAAAAAAAATCGGAATTTCTCTGAAGATGTGCCTTCACCTCTAGAACCATTTCTCAGATTGTTTCATTATTACCGTCACGCGAACTACGTTTATGCAAAGTTTCAATTTTCAAATTTTCCAATTGTCGAAATGTCCCTTGCAAATGTGAAATACGAATCCAACGAAAGGAAAAGTTGTTGGCAAACTTTTGGCCAATACTGTACACGAATCCAAAAGACAAAAGATATGAAATACGAGACGAAGAGATAACAATCTACCCATCTTGATGAAATTATCCGAATCGTTGATTCACCGGTCCCCCCAATATACGTCTACAAATTGAACGGCGATCGATTCGCATTTGGAATTTCAGTGGATCACCAAATAGCATGGAGTTAGCAAATGCCGAGCACCGTGCAACTGTCTGACCGGTTTCATCCAATCGAATCGTAGAAGTAGCAAAGTATACCCTATTTCTTAATGGGTAGCTCGAGAAATAAAGCGGGATCTCGATAGAATGATTCCGCTCTTTATTCCATCGGGTAATATAATCTATCGTTTCTTATCCTTACCGTTACATCGTTAAATGCGGTACTCCGGGGCATCGCGTGTCAACACATCTTCCGTACCATCGATATCGTTGCCTCTAAAGTCAATTACATTAGCGAGTACATTTTCTCCGCGAATTGACAAGATCGATGGCAAAGAGGATGCGAGACTGTTCGACGATCTATTACAGAACGAGTGTCTAAGTCGATGTATAAAAGGCCGAGTCCCATTTATTTGTCAATTTATTAATAATTTTGCTGGCCATTAACCGTATGATCCAGAAAGAAAGTAGTTTAATCAAATTAAATCAAATTAAAACAGAATGCCTAAACTTGTATAGTGTGTTCTCTCGTGCACACGTGTGATCATAGAGTGAAACACTTCAAATTACTTTAAATTACTTTAAATTACTTTAAATTTGTATTGTGTATTTGATAATAAATTCAGATCATAATTTGAGCATAATTCGAAGCTTATATAAATCTTGAAAATCTTGATAGCACGATGAATGTTTAATATCTTGCAAGCTATTTTCGATTACTTTTAGTTACTTTTTGCCACATTTTCCACGATATTACGGAAGAAAGTTCGATTTACAACGATATGTATGATATCAACGTGTATGGTTTGTTTTAGATTTTATTTATAAAAACGAATTAAATATATGTATGATAACTCGAACGTTTTGAATTTTCTTTTATATTTCTTTTATATTTTATACTTATATACTAATATGTGCGTATTTTATATTCATATACTATACATGCTATTAAATTATCACAACACTTTGAAGACGTTAAAAACGATCAAGATTTCCCAGGCGATCAAGAGTTTCAAAACTTTCAAGACTCAAGATTTATTCGCATTTTGAAGATTCAATTATAAACTTCGAATCATATTTGAAATGATTCAAAATTTTTGCTACATAATATATATGACATTCAAGATGATCAAGATTTTACGATTATCGGATTCTATTCAAAGTTTCACAACCTTGACTCTTTAAGGATTCAACTATATCAAGAAGAAAAACAGCTTCCGTTTATCTTTCATTCTGTTTTCTTATTACTGTATAGCCAACCTTTCTTTTATTTTATTGTTTTATTTCTTTTTCGAAA